CGAATTGCAGCCAGACGCACACATGCATCGGACTCGAACGTCGTAAGTTTGGCACTCTTTGGTATAGCCACAACAAAGCATCATGCCCCTCCCCCATAGTTCACAGGTCAACGACCTGATACATGGTTTCGGTTGGCCGCGTTGAGACACAGTAGTGAATTCCTTATTCTATGGATAATTAGCAATTAATAAGAGCAAATTTGCGCATAGCGTCAGGTCTGAACCGAAATTTCTAACGTGCAAAACAGTTTACCTCTAATTCCCTGCGTCAGTGTCACCAAAAAATACCTCTGCCTTAAAATAAACTAAATTCTCCCTTGTACAACCTGACAAAACTGCATCCGTCATGCAACTCAAGCACGACGAATCTGCTTCTAATAAATGGCTTTAAATGCACGTAGTTATCAGTAAGAATCGTTGCGGATTTTGATCCAGATTGGGCAGTGGTCGCGCATCGGTCAATCCGTTTTAGTTTATCTTAATTACAAATAAAACAGAAATACGTATTAAAATCAATAAATGATTTACGAATATTAATTTCAATTCGATGGTGACTCATTTCGCTTAGAACTGCGTCACAACATACATCATCTACCCAGGCAAAAATCTCTCAGCGAAATTGCGTGTTAAAAAAACCGGACAGCAATATGCAAAGACAAATGAGCTGTCGAATCAAATGATATATAAGTGGCAAACCAATGTATTGCAGTCATGTTCCCACGGCAGTTCACTTCGTTGAGATTCAACTTGAACGACATTCAGACGCCGCAAGCAGAAAACAGACCCGAAATCAAGCAAACAATAGAGCTGCAAGTTTGCGTGAATTTGCCCGATTGATTTTCCTTACTCTCACGTTAATATGAGCTGCTGACATTTGACTTGGCATTTAAATCATCACGAACCCGCTAGCTCAAGTGAAAGCTAAACGCTATCGGCAGCCTAAAAACTACTACATCATAATGGCTTAATGATTAGTCAAAGAGATGACCGAAGAGCAAATTTTTGGAAAGGCTGTTCTGATCGATTTGTTCAATCATTTCATATTCGAGTCCTCTTTACATCGTGAATGAAAAGGCAAACTTTCACTTTGATCATTTAAATGCTCGTATACGGTGTAACCGTAGAGTCCTTCTAAACGAGCGCTGTAATTTGTCAACATTCAGTTCCCCACTATGAATGGCACTATTTTAGCAATGACCGGGTCGCTCAGTTGTTTAGTCGATAGAGCACTGAACTCAGTACAGAGTGGTCCGTCGTTCGAGCTCCTGTCAGTTCATCACTAGCCTTTCCTCCTTCTGATGCTGATAAATGGCAGTCCCTCCGAGAAGATGAAACAAGAGAATACACATTATGGTTGCCACAAGCTGAAGATTCTGCCTTAAACAATAAGGCATCCTTGGCCATTGTCACGGAAAGCAGATCAGAGCCCCACCGTTAAACTACATTAAAAGAAGGGCGC